AGAGAGAGAGAGAGAGAGAGCTAATATTGATCTTCACCAACTAAAACAAAACATGGCATTCAAACGGATGTGAATCAGATGTTTGCACAAAAAAATCATAAAAAAAGCCCTAATTCAATATACCTGTGCAGAATCTCCTTGAAGTCCAACAACAGCAGAGTACCTATCTTCCATAGCACCCCTTTTCCCTCTTTTGCAATACACGGAATACCCCTCCCCTTCAACCTCCACGTCTTTCACCCTATCCACATCCCTCGGCGTCTCAGCCGCCAGATTAGAACTCAAGGAGGCAATCGGAATAGTAATACTCGCCGGTCTCTTCTTCTTGAACAGTGTCATCGGTGTCGAAGTCGAACAAACCTGCTCTTCCTTTTCAAATTCCCGATCGTACCCACTAAGCTGTTTGTGAAGACAAAGCGTCACCGGAGATAACGGCGATATCGGCGACGATGATGTAGAAGAAGATGACGGGTTTACAGGAGAAGAGAGAGAGGGTTTACGGAAGATTGATGAGACCCTGGGTGAGGGTGAGAATACTGGTGAGTTTGCTACTGCTACAGAGCAAGGCATTTTGATTTTGCTCCGATCGATTTGGTGATTTGAAGTGAGAGCAAAGAGGAGCGAAAGAGACGATCACAATCCTCACAAGTCATTAGGATTCAGGCTGGGTCTCTGGTTATATAGTGTAGGGAACTCAGGCGAAGAGATAAACGATGTCGTTTTGCAGGTAGGCTGTATATGAGAGTGGGTTTTTTCACGCTCTTGAAGAAGGCGTGAATTCAGCGCTAGCAAATATAGATTAAATTGCACTTGGCCCCATGACATATAGGAAATAAAATAGATACTCTCTACTTTTAAGAAGTTTAAACAAATGGGCTTTATCATTAGGTCAACAAAATAATATTTAGAATACCAATATGTCTCATCTCTATATCTGAATACCCCTCTTTTTTACTCTCCCCTTGACATACACTCTTTTCCCATTTCTCTTCCTACCTCCTCTCACACTCTTAGATTCAAAAATGAAATTTGAAATTCAACCAGCTAACCTAGATCAATCAAATTTACAATAAAAACCCTCCAAATTGTACACATTATTCAACCCACGCATCTCAATCGTTTACATATTCAAAAGTAAAAAACTTTGAAATTCAATGCAATTTTGCAAATTAGCCACTACCCCAATTCCCTTACCTCTCCTATTGTCCAACAAACTCAATCATTGATAGAGCTATTAAAGACGGTCATAGAGACGAGGGTGATAATTTTAGGGCAATCACGTTGTTGTGTCTCTCATGTCTTTGAGGTCTCTCTCCTTTGTCTTCCATGTGAGTATCAGGAATGGGTGAATTTTCTCCACCTCATGCATAACTATGTTTACTCTTTCTCCGCAATATTTTTCCTTCAAAGATTTTAGTTTGTTTCTTAAAAATTTTCATTTGAATTTCTTACATGAATCAAAATTAAAATGTGAATGATGTTGTCCTCGACTTAAATTATTTTTTGGTAATGAGCAGATTTGAATTCCTTATTAATTTGAATCATAATTTGAATCATAATTTGAATTCCTTATTAATTCCAACCTTACCACTAGATTAAGACAACAACTAAAATATAATATACTTTTCAAAAAAAAAATACATCGGAATTATTCACCACATTTAACAGCAAAAATGTTGAAAACTCTTGGGCCGAAAATTTCTTTGGCAAGAAATGTCCAATGCGTTTTGTCAACGCGCTTGGAGTGTGAGTGGGAAATGCGTCGGTCTTTTGCAAAAATAGAAGTATTTTTCTCACAAGAGAAGGTCATGGAGAGGAGAGAATATTAAATACAACTATCATCCCATGCCTTGACCGATCAATAATTATCTGCTTATACGTGTAGGTCATTAATAGTTTGTATTGGATCTATTTTTTTTGGTTAGTTAAAAAAGGGATGGAGTAAAGGAAATTGTCCAGAGATAAATTTATTTTTGGTGGAATTACGAGATCTCTGATTATGTTCGTTATTTTTTTCAAGAACGAAACTAATTAGACTAACATAAAGGTCAATCACTAAACCTTAATATAAAATTTAAAACTCGAACTTCTAACTTTAGAATGAGAAGTTCGGTTGAAATCCCACTAGACTATTTCACCCGATGATTTTGTGTGGAGTCTATTTTCTTATTTATCGGTAAATTATTATTTGGTGATATTAGTGATAATATTAACGTGATATAACAAATATTTTTTTTCATGGGGAGGTGTGTAAATGACTAAATCGTTGTGTAAACGGTCAAACACGTATAAAAATTGATCGCAGTTTCCTTTCTAATAAGGCAAACCCCTGCTGGCTCTTAGGTGTGAGAATGGAATGGGTCTCCTTAAATACCACCATTGGCCTTTTGCTTTGGCTTTCGTTTTTAGCGCTTGTTTTTTCACCGACGCCAGCCGGATGCTGCCCGCCTGATACACTCTATAGACATGTGCTTCGTCTTCTCATTGGTTAAGTCGGTGGTCAGAGCTGACCCTTTCTACTTTTTTGGATTTGATACTTGAGTAATATTATTTGAGTCTAAAAATTTTATCAAATTTATTGATATAATGATGTGATTTTAATAAAATTATTGGATTAATATTAAATTTCAATGTTTGATGGGCCCTACAGTTAATCCAAATGTGATAGTGAATTAAGTCAACAAATTAGATTCCAATAACATTATTTTTTAATACTTATCATCCTCTTTGGCCTTTGCCGAGGAAAAGACAAGGGAATCCGTTGGGATATTTTTTTTTGTTCTACCGAGAAATTCATGGTCTGTTCTCAACGAGTAGAGGCACATTTATATCGCTCAGACTCGTGATTCTATGTTGAACTAAGGGCAAAGTTAGGGTGTATGAACCGGTCCTTCAACTTATACACTATTTAAATCAGGACTTGTGCTTTGTCAGAAATTCAAGACCCACACCAGTTCAAACAATTGAAATTTTGTCTTACCAAGCAGTCACGCTTTTACGCCCAAGAAACTTCAAAAACCCGTTGGGATATTGCAATCGAGAATCACATATGAATAAAATTAAAAAGAGTTTTAATACATTTTGAATAAGTTTATTAGTGTTCAAATCAAATAAAAAATAAACTATAAGAGTTTTAATATATTTTGACTACGTATATTAAAATTGTGTTGTCTAAATTTGTTTATTAAATTTTGTATCTTAAATGATTTGTCAAAATCTTTTGTATTGAATATTTGGTGGAGTTACTAGACCTTACTGTTCTAACCATCCACATTAATTCGAGATACAAAATTTGGTAAATGATTTGGTAAGCATAACATTGCTCTATTTGACTAGTTATTTTATTTTTATTTTTTAAAAAAATTGAGAACAAAGACTAAATAAATTTAGAAAGCACGTAAGAACTGTTTTGCGTGTTTTTGAAAAAAAAATCTTTCTAAAATTTAGAAAACACCATTACTACTACCACCATCACACCATACCACCACCACCATGTCTACCANCAAAGACTAAATAAATTTAGAAAGCACGTAAGAACTGTTTCGCATGTTTTTGAAAAAATTTTTTTTCTAAAATTTAGAAAACACCACTACTACTACCACCATCACACCATACCACCACCACCAAACTCCTACCACCACGTCCACCACATCACCTACAAACTCCCACCACCACATCCACCACACTACCACTACACTTCCACCACCACGTCCACCATATACCTCCACCACCACCGCCACCACACTCCCACCATCATCCATCACCATATTTCCACCACCTTTTCACCACTACCACCACCACCATGTCCACAACACCACCATATTTTTGTTTTTATTATTTTTTGGATTACTGTACAAACAAGTTTTACTATTTTCTATTATATAGATTTTTTTTTTAGAATCATATAACTAAATAAGTTTGACATACAAAAAACACCAAAAAACAGTTTTTTAATACTCTTATCAAAAATAATTTTTTTTAATACTCTTCTCAAATTTGTTTACTGGATGTTGTATCTCAAATGATGTATCAAAATTTTATGCATTGAATGTTTGGTGGAAGTTACTAGACCCTACAAATTTAACCACTCACATTAATTTGAAATACAAAATTTGATAAATAATTTGATAAGTATAACATTGCTCAATAATAAAAGATTTTGGGGGGTGACATGTGGTAAGAGTTAATGTCTAGTATTAAGTCAAGAGAGATAAGAAAGATAAGAGAAAAAAAGTCTCGATGGACCTCGAATAATGAAGAGACGTGACATCATGAGCCAATGGTTGCAAACGATTCGGTGTGCAATAGATATTGTTGAACATAGAGGTATGATTACTAGTCTCGTGGCCGAAAAAGACAGCTTCGGTGGTTGATAGTCACTGCCTATAAATACAGAGGCCTAAGTTGTAGAGAAGAGGTCTCTCAATTCGTCAATCGCGCGCTCACACACACAAACAGTATACCAGAGCCTTCCTTTGCACTGTATAGCTTAGTTTATTTCTTTTATATTGTAATCGTCATTTCGATGACCTCCTGTTTAATTTTAAGAACGGTAATTCATGCATCAATTCCTCTTTTTCGTTTACATTACTATCTTTTTTCTAAGTTATCTTAAATTCCTAGTTCATTTGCTCGTTATTAAGGAAATTGTTTGAAATCATTAATCTCCAATGTAGAGAAAAAATTTAAAAGTAGTCTTACGTTTCGTTTCAATCGCTTGAACAATTACGATTTTAAGACCCGATTCAAGTAGGTAAGATCGTAAATATTTGAAAACTAAGTATTTTAGGACTTTGGCACGCTCGCAAATCCAAAATACGCTAAACAATTAGACATCTAATATGAAACATAGAGAATGAAAAGAAACTTAACAACTTATTAATCAAAGAAATAGTTAGGATCATTTAGCCACAAACATTGGTAAATAGTCCTGTTCGTTCTTTGTGCCAGTGTCCACCATATGGTCGCAAAAAATAGAATGTTTTTGTCATTGTCAAAACCAAACTCAAATTTAATCAAACGTCGGGATTAAAGATTCATGACCTAGCTCTAAAGGGTTGTCAAGATTCGTACTTAGAACGTTTGAATTTACAGTTAGTCTTTATTACCAATTGAACTATCCCTTAACGTTTTACAACCGGTTTCAACAATAGTAATTTGGCATCTCCGCTTCTCATGTCTGGGCATAGAACAGTTCTCATAGGAGGGTCTTATTAACATCACAAAGTCTCCAACCCACGACCAATTTTTAACATCATTAAACATAAAGTATAATGTTAAGAATCATAAAAGAATACGGCCCAATCCTTAAAAAAATGTCTAAAAAATTACAAGAAGACCATGGTATGGACGTTATAAGGTACGTAAACCAAAAAAAAAAAAAAATGAGGTGGTAGTGAAGAGAAAATGGAAGCAATATACACAGTAAGAAAGAATAAAACAATTGTTGCGTATACGAGCACTAGCAGCGTCAAGAATGAGAAATTATACGTGTGTAGAGAAACTCATTCCATGTATCGGGTAAACCCGGGAGGCACCAATGAATACAGTCAGCAAAGATGGCCGGGTTGGCTTTTTGCTCGTCCGTGAGCATATTGCCTTGCCGGATGGTGTAGATCGAGGTATGAGCGT